TCTTGTTTCAGAGGCTTTATAGTATATCATGGCAGTTTAATAGAATATTAAGTTAGGTACATTTGGTAGAAATATTGTGCAAATGCCGTATTAATAAAGTTGTAATGTAATATGAATTTCCAGCTTGTTAGCTGTATGAGTTTCGTATTTATTATATTAGCTAAGTTCGATATGCATTAATTTAGCTTTAATTAACTATACGAACATATCAGTAAGGATAAGAATCGTGATGGCTATCTTAATGGATATTCGAAGTTAGCCATTCTAGTATGATACTACTATCTTAGATGCCCCCCCCCGTTCAACCTGATAACCGAGTCTGCACAAATATCGGCAGCAGGTTTTTGTAATATTAGAGGAAGTACCTTGTCGGGGCATAGTCATTATTTAATGGTTTTAAATTAATCGCTGGTAAGATAAAGTAATTTTTATGAAAAAATACTTATCATTACAATTATAGTGATATCAAATTGTTGTCGCAGTATTACAGAGTAAATCCATGTTGTGAATTATTAAGTTGGACGCATATCCTCGTTTTTGTGTTGGTGGCTTTTATTAGGTCAACTATGTACGTATTAAACTGGGTATTTTTGTTTTTGCTATTTTCAGAGTTGGAAGTTAGCTTATTAACTGTAATGCTAAGCCATTACCAAATTGCGTATGACAATGAACGATAATCCCATCACTGTGTGTAGAAGTGAAAGGCATGATAAATTTGCCAATTAAAATTCCATTATAAAGGTATGAGAAAAAATCCAACTAGTTATCAAAGTACTTTCTTTTAAGTACATTTCCACTGTATTATCTATTTCTGTAGATGTCACGACTAAGGAGATTATATAAAATGGGTATACTGTACTTTCGTTGATCCAATAAAAACTACTTCGTAACTTAATATTAAGTACTGTACCTTTTAACCGACAGACAAGTTTATGGTCAAGGAGTACAGTATACTCTTTTACTGCGCTAATGGCTTTTTGTTTAGCTCCAATTTTTTATACAGTTTGCATAACTATGATGAATAGATTTCATTCATTTCCTCTAATAAATTCTAATTAGTCCATTAATCTAATTACAGGAATGACTCAACATCCTTTCTTCTTAACCCTTTGTATGCTCCACTATAGGATTCGCTGTGACCAACGCTAGATTTTATCGTCTTAAATTTGAACTAATAGATGTCTAATTAATAGTACCATAGCACAGACAGTGATCAAAGTATACACCTTTATTTCTATCATTTGTACAATCTGAGTCAAAAATTTACGCAGTAAAACTGATTCAAATTTACAGTTAAGTTGAATTATTTCACATCAGATAGCAGAAGAAAATTTCCAATAGCTTATTCTTGCCGTAAAGTTGCTTGTCTTTCCCTTAAAATGATCGAGAAAAACTAGGGAAAATGAGTTTTTAAACTGGAGTTTATGCACTGTCTGTGATGACCTTCATTGAGAAAAAATCTCTTTGAATTGAACACTTAGGAATACGAATACCATCGTCATGGAGAGTTAACAGTGTAGGGAAATGAATATCATGGGCCTGTAAAGTTCACAGTATTCAACGTACAACTGCAGATGCGAATAGTGTTGATATTCCCTTTACTGTTCATTTACTTCTTTTTGCTGGCCAATATGGTAAAGTCCCCTGTTTGGTTTTGCAGGCCCGATCGATCTTTGTGGTGGAAAGAGTTGAAGAAAGTCCATCTGGTTGTCCTTCTGTAGCACCTCTTTTGATGTACTGTACTGTACCGTCATGGACTACAATATTAAACTACAGTACAGTACTGTACTCCGTGGTACTGTACACTGTACCGAACGCCATGTTTTGAACTGGATTTTGAACCCCTACTGAACTGTATAGTCCTGTACTAGATGTACAGTATAGTACTGTATTTGTAGTGTTGTATGTGCAGTATTTGGGCAGTTGCGATCACCTAACCTGTGAAATTGATTTAGTTCTTCTCGCCCTAGTCGGTGAAGTTTTACACAATCTGCAAATCCTAACCAATGCAGGACGACGAAAGGCAACCTTTGGTATGTATAACAAATATATTAGGAGTTATTCGTGGTGGGATATTGTCATTCAGTGTCTATATACTTACAGAAGGGAACTCCATTGCGCTTGTTTTTCAAATTTTGAATGTCCATTAGCGTCTTTGATCAACGTACAATATTTTCTCATTGCTGTTTCACTGGCAAAAAAAAAATGAGATTTATCGTGAATGGAGATTAAAATTGTGATGAAATTATTACGGATCAACACCATTCGAGGCTACACTATTCTATGTATGTTATATACAACTTTAAGTATAGAAAGAACGCCTTAGATTAGAAAAATATTGGGACGCACTTGATCAAGTGGACGGCACAGTGAAGAAATACTTGGAATAATTAATGTTCAATTGGATCTTCTTGATATTAGACAAAATAGCCAAGATTATTCTTCAATTTTCTTACAGTGATGATAAAATAGAGTTTACCTAGTTAGTACTTAAGAATCGCTATTTAAAAGGGTATTGATTGCTTATTTTGATTCTCTTTTGAAAGAATCAAAATAAAAGTCTATAATTCATATACCTGTATACACGAGTATCCAAATTATGACTTTTGTCAGTAACGCAAATTACAGAAAATGTAAATCTGGATCGATTGCTATGCGTCTAGATATGATTATTAACTTTTAAAAAAGATTCCATTAATAAGGATAAATACTTTGCAAGCATGTACAAGATTCGAGTGAACACTTTTATTAACCTAAAACAACATAAAGATTTAAAATGGGAAATAGAGAAAAAAAAAGTACACAAGAGTCGATACTGTGCTATATCGACTGTTCGATACAGCACAGTGCCGTAGCTGACACAGTATAGCTATCGAGGGCCGTCACGGAACTTCATTTTATATGCGCATATAGTGCTGACGCGATTGGTTCCTCTACTCCTACTTTACTGTATATACACTATGGGGTGCCACACACAAAGATCAGGCGTTCCATACTTGACCCATAGAGTAGAATACATAGAGATCAGTCGTGGAGCCAATGTACCTACTATGCTGTATTATATATTTAAAATACCCATCTAATGTAGCAAGGAAAGTCCTCACTAAATCATCTAATGTTAGAATTGCTGATGGACGATATCTGGATGAAGTACATCTAATGGCATATGCGTATAAGTGTATTTAGTAAAATTGCAATAGTTTCTAAATAAACTTATCATTTAATATCGGATCCAATGTACATACTGTACAGTATTGTATTTTTTTAAAACACCCATCTAATGTAGTAAGGAAAGTCCTCTCTAAATCATCTAATATTAGAATTGCTGATGGACGATATCTGGATGAAGTACATCTAATGGCATAGGCGTATAAATGTATTTACTGTTAGTAAAAATCATAATAGTTTCTGAATAAACTTATTATTTAATATTGGACCCAATGCACATACTGTACAGTATTGTATTGTTTTAAAACACCCATCTAATGTAGTAAGGAAAGTCCTCACTAAATCATCTAATATTAGAATTACTGATGGACGATATCTGGATGAAGTACACCTAATAGCATATGCGTATAAATGTATCTAGTAAAATTATAATAGTTTCTGAATAAACTTATTATTGAATATCGGATCCGTATTATAATGACTGTATTATTGGTGTTAATTGGACGCGGCTATTAACAGGGTTCTACATCACTGCCAAAAATACCTGTGCATTAACGCTACTGTCAAATATTCACGCTTGATTTCCTTACAAGACTTCAAAATTGGAGCTTTGTTGATTTTTTCTACTTCCTTGGTCCATTTAGGTTGCCAATGAAGAAAGATCACATACTGATGAAAATGATGAAACTCAGCCTATCATGGAGGCTACCCATTCGGATGGAAATCAGGTGGAAATGCAACAAGAATGCGAACACAGTGAAAATGCACCTGCAATATCCAGCTCTACGGATTTGAATCATGAAGCACTTTGCCCACAATACGATTCTCCGCCGCCTGTTGCAAATCTCGAAGATTACCCAATAGCTTCGGAATTACCTCCTGAATATGACAGTGGATACAATCAGGGTAAGCTTTGGCCGTCAATTCAAAGTCAACTAGCACTTGACGAATGATATGATGATCGAGATTTAATATCTGTATGCGCTATTAATTTATGTAGCATTAAAAATGTATATTTACCCAATAGCTTCAGAATTACCTCCAGAATATGACAGTCGATACAATCAGGGTAAGCTTTGGCCGTCAATTCAAAGCCAACTAGCACTTGACGAATGATATAGTGATCGAGATTTAATGTCTGTATGCCCTATTAATTCGTGTAGCAGTAAAAATGTATATATCAGGACTGGCTTGATGATCTTTAATTTCTGTGCATTATATCTTCTTGTAGACTGGGGTAAAAATCAATCTACTGCACTTCCGCAATCTAGTCAATCCGTTGCTCAACATCAGCATTATCAAATTGACCCAAGAAGTATGCATATTCCAAGGATACCGACATACGATGAAGCTGAAAGACATAAGCAAGGTTCCGTTCGGGTAAGAATGCACAAGTAGGCGAAATAGGCTTTGTGCAGTAGTTACTAATGTTGAAGTACGGCTATGATCCAAACCCTATACTATGTGACTTACTTAATTGGAACTAATTGAAGAGTCTCATTTGTTAACCGTCTATCATTAATCTTTTCGTTATGTAATAGCCAAGGCGTCGGCGTGAAGAGGAACTTACTGATGGTGAGTACTAGAGTTTAATTATATGTCATCTACTTTAAGTTTACCACAGGAAATGGACTACAAACTGCAAGCGACATGTCATTGTAACTTGTTTTATCTTTTATCGTAGATGAACTTGGAACAGGATTTGCTTTTATGGGTTCAATGTTTGGTAAGCTTGACTTTGTTTTACTGTAGTCTAATCTAGTCATAAAGAATACATAAGTAACAATTATTTATTGAAGTTATTATACTTTATCTGCTAATGACTAAATATTATACACTATGTAAGTTGAAATAACACGGTATATCTATCAATTATCTAGTATCATTCATATTTAGTTGGATTGGCTTTATAATTTGCTACTGTGCTAGTAGCACTGTAGCCGGACGTTACGGAGCATTTGCCGGATTTGGTTTATCACTTATTAAATGGGCTATAATATTACAGGTATACAAATTATTGTTCAAGTTAATAAAATTGGAAACTGTTTCAAGATAGGCTATAGGCCAGAAAGTTGATCACAATGTATTTTCTATACTGAAAGCATCAGTTAAGCTTATGTTGCACAAATACTCTTTTCTTATTAATCAAGCATGTCAAATTTGACGGCAGTACTAATGGAGATAATTGGCTCTGGTGGCTCGTAGTTGCTTTCGGTAAGCAAGATTAGTTAAAATTACTGTAAAAAATGTTCCTGATTCCTGATTATTATTTAGCCCCAGTGATGATATCGACTTTAGGTTTCTGCCGGTTGCTAAAATTAGTACTCTTTTAAATAGGTTGGTTTATATTTATGAGAGCTGTCATTGTTTACTATCGGATTAAGAATCTTGTCAGAAATCGTCAGCTGGCCCCGTAATACGAACGTCAAGTAATCTACGTTGTGACTGTAAAGCATCTCCTATTTAAGTATGATAATGTCATCATTTTAGCAGTTTAACCAATAAGACATACTGCGTTGCGAATTGACGTACAGAAGCGGAGCAATTTGTTAAGGTTTATTCCAGATTCAATTGCAAAATTATTATATTGTGAACATAAATTATTGAATTTTTAGTGTGGTTTGGTGATATAACGTAAATTGATGTCACATCGTAGCGATATTTATATGGTATAAAGTTGCTTTACAACATTATAGATCGCTGCAATATAATAGTGTATTACTATCATTCCAATCAATATTCTGAATTTCGATAAAACTCATACCTATGGGTTATAATTAATTAATAGTGCGATATCATGTCATCATTTTATTGTTATGACTTTCTTTTATTCTTAACATACAATGTGCTGTCATCTGATACTCAATTTAGCATATATATTTGCAAAATCACTTGCTGTTTTGATCATAATCTTCAAAACTACCGTAGATCTATAATAGTTAAGCACTGAAATTAATTGGCAAAGCTAAGAAAAGTTTAACGCTAGCGCATATTGTTTATTGTAATAAAAATATTGTAATATATGTTAAGCAGTAAATGTAAGTGCTACTTGAGCGCAATAAATGTATAGCGCAGTTGCTGATTATACACCTGTTGTAGTACTTTAAAAGTGTTATAAACGGTCTATATCCATGAATTTGACAGTGCCTAGCTTTATGTAATTTCATAAATACTTCCGTATAAAGGCATTTAAGAATTTAACGCAAGATATTGTGGCAAAAACATTGAAAGTGCATGTTCCGTAGTTCTAGTCAGACGACAATTTTGCTCCTTTTTGGGGGGCATTTTTAAAATTTTAATGAGCCGACCTCGTAACGATAGCAGTTATTGCAGAGTGGAATCCTAGCACGAAAAATAGATTCATCATTTTCGAGATGGAATACAGATTCTTCATGGATATAATATTTAGAATCTATAGGGTATATTGTCCTGCATGAAACAACATCGATAGTAAACGAATGGAACGTTTCATATTTTTAAAAACATGTAGCTCTAATACGAGGTATTTACATGCATCACAGCCAAGCACCAAATTAAAAATTTTTATTACCTGATAATATTGCAGTACAGGGTCGATGGTGCTGTATATTTTCTTTTTGCACATCTTACCAAATATAATGAAAACATTTCTATGAAATATCGTACAGCCCTTGTAACCAAGTATGACATGTGAACATTTTAATAGATAGGTAGTACTTAATTCTTGATAGAAGAAACGGTAATAACATTACCGATCCAATCTGAAAGCAACACTCATTCCTAAAATGTTAATGCACTTTGTGAATATGCTACAGAAATTGAAATATAATTTAATAGTATTAAATGTTGTATAGTTTAGATTTTTTATACAGTTGTTATAGTAGCTGTATTGTTATAAGTTGAGCTACTATTTCTTCCAAGCATATATAGGGAATTAGTTTGAAAATAGCAGTACCGACAACAATTTATCAAGTATCTCAATGGATGATATAAAATGAGTGTGGGAAAACATACTAAACTTAAAGCAATCAAAATTGTATATCTTTTAAGGCATTCATAAGGTTTCTGCTCATAGTTTTTGCAGGAGCATGGATCTTCTATATTCATATTAGGGTATTCTTTATCATTACTGAAATGATAGAATAGGCCTACCAGGCAAAAATAGCATGTACAGCACTTAATAGCGTTTTCAGAATGATTGAGGCATTGATACCAAGCGCGAAAACATGGTTTGCATATAGTAACGGATTCACTCATCGTTAGACGTATTGTACCAGTAATTACAGTCCAATAAATAGCTTCTTAGTTGCACCTTCCCTAGATTTTATGAGAACAAAAATAAATATAAATGCTATAGTATATTACTTGTTTATTATAAGGTTACAAGATCAACATGAGGACTTACAAGTTAGACATAGCATTTGTCTAAAGTTAACCTATTTAAGGTCTAGTTTATCGCTTCCTATGAAAAGAAGACTAGGTAAATTTGCCATTTTCTGACGTCAGGATAATTACTAGGCAGACTCTCATAACGATACAATAGTAAAGCATCAAACTCGAACGTTGCAGGACTGGAAAGAATACCGTATTTAATGATGTCTGCAGCGAGAGTAACTACTCCTACTCTTTCTCCATTTATACAACATTGTATAAATATGTATAAATGCGTGTACGTTATTGTTAGTGGATGGTTAGGAACCTCTATATGCTAATTGTGGTTGTATTGGTTTAAGATAAGTCTCGAATCCTTTACAGTCAGTTGGTGCTCTAAGTGTGTGTCTCCCTTTTGACACAATCTATAGTATTACATAGATCACAGAACATTCTTGGAATACATGCAGCACTCCAATAATAGAATATGTCCATACAAGGTCCAGATAGAGTTGTATTACAATTTGAGCAAGAGTTAACATTATCGATGGTGTTACCTTAATTACCCGAGCCATAAACTACTGAGAGTCTATTGCATAGTACATATGTCCTAGGAGCGTGCATTTTCAATATTAAGATTTCATGATGCAACATCTTACCCATCCATGTTAGTATTGACATAATTTGTAGTATGAATGTAATCCATCGAGCTTTTTAAAGAAGGAAAGAGCTAATGTAGCAGCGTCGTACTCTTTTAAAATATTGATCTCAAGTTTGTAAATTGAGATAATGCTGTCGAGTGTTGTCAGTATGATGTAACCATTTTAACTTGAATATTACTTCCTTACAGTATACTATGTTCTCTCTTCATCGTTACCAAATATATTAACAATTAAGCATTGATATCCATACTTCTTGTAAAACAGTAATGATGAATATCTCTCCTATGTCTAGTCTATTTTGTACAATGTATGCATTACAGTATTGAACTTGCCTTGTCCTCTATCCTATATTGGTTACAAGGTTATGGGACGAGTAATGTTATGTCTAACTCACAAGGACAATGCCAGAGATTAATCATTAGAAATATATTCACGATATGGTATGGAGATCCATGTCATCGCAACATCATAACTGCGAATATTCTCTCTAATGTTCAGTATTTTGTGGAAGGATTGACTATATTGCACTTACCTCCTCTATCGTTTGTAGTGTGTGGTGAGTTTGGAAATAATGCTACCATTTTCACTTGAACATGGCATAAATGACGTATATTAAAGTATACTCTCTCTCTCTTTATCATTGTAAATATATTAACAAATCAGTAATGATATCCATATTATTGCAAAACTGTCTGTATGAACATCTCTCCATCTTGCAGTATTTCATGAAAAGTATGAACTACAGTCTTATGCTTGCCTCGTCCTCTATCCCATATAGATCATAAGATTGGAAGATGTATAATGTTGTGTCTAACTCATAAGGACTATACGATACATTAATCATTAGGAATAAACTAACAAATTAGCATTGAGATCCATGTTATCGCAACATCGCCGCTATCAATATCATTCCAACGTGTAGTATTTCACAGAAGGCATTAATCACAGTATTGATCGCAAATTTGTAGTTTAAGGTGTATTGGATATCATATCGATCACTTTAAATAGAATATTTTATTACTCTAGCATAGCACATTCTCTCTCCATCGCTAGAAATTGGAAATACAATTTTCTACTGATGTTCACGTTATTGTAGCATGATAACGATGAACAATAATGTTTCATGTTTTCACTTAGCATAACCAACTTTCTTTCACTGTCCAAGGAGAGTTATGTGAGGTTAACAGTAAAACGTTGGTTATTGACACTGTAAATTTCACGAACTATGACTGCTATCTATACTACAATACTACTACGCCATGTCTATATTACGGATCAAGTCTCCGTACACAAATTGCTAACTTTCCCACATTCCTCGTACAAATTGTTGACGTACAGGAGAAGACTTGTATCCTAGCATCATGCATATCAAGCAAGTATTGCAAACTAACATATATTCTTGATTGTAATATTGAATCCCCGACCAAGAGCATGCAAAATCTTCTAGCTTAAGTTAAATCACTTGTAAGATAAATTTTACCTTTAAAATAGAATACGCGAAAGTTTATTAAAAGTAAATTGAAGTAATAAATCTAGTCTGTGATATTGACTTGATTCCTACATTTCTTATTGGAGTGCTTCCATTTCTCTTCATTATGAGAGACAGATGGATGATTGAGCATCAAGATGATGCTGCAAGCTACCTTAAAACTTTTCTACCTAGACTATTTCTGTTTTATCAACACTGGAAAGATAACTCTGTCACTCTTTTGAACTGCAGCTTACCTTCTCCTCAACAAAGATGGCGCTATCCACGTAGGCTATAATAACTGCAATAGATTATAATATTTCGTAGTTAGGTCGATACCGAGGCCTTTCATAACTTCATTATCTTTCAACCATAACTTCTAGCTAAAATGGATACACTAGCAGTCGACGATGGTGATTAGATTCTCCAAGTAGTAGACGAATGAAAGAAGAAGAGATTGCCAACGATTCTTGCTCAACCAAAACAAAGTCAGCTGGCTGGTTCTTGCCGACTATTTGAATGTATCGGAAAGCTGGAACTGTATAGTGTGCAACTAGCTCGGTGTCTACTTTGGAACACACCCCTGTAGACAGTCCAGATTCCCTGTAGAGAAAATGTCACCCACTTTGACCCAAAACGATAGAGGATTGCTATGCTTTTAGCGTTTTAACAGTCTCTTTCTGTTAGTGTTGAAGTAACTATTGATGATAGATTGCTATACAATCTCATCCAGCATGCAAATCTACCAATCAATTGATTCAATTGAATAAATCCAAGGAAAATGAAATGAATCAAGACAATTAATCGATCTTCTCCGCCATACTACATGCTATAGTATATCGTATATAATATTGGCCCGGTACTGCATACTATACTCTACCTGGATTCAAGGGGCGTAGTCTACACTATTTATCTGCCCCAGCCCTTTCTAAAAATACTTGAGTAAAATGTCTTAGAACAGGAAGAAAGTTAATTTGATATTTTTGACAGGAATTGATCGCAAACATGGAATAGTAGGCTGTTCATCATGATGATAATCACCTATTCCTATGATATTTTGGGGCCCATAAGTGTCATGTTATCGTTGTAGGCGATCAAGATGCTGCAAGCAAATCTTTAGGCAGACAGACTTTTTAAAAGTAAATGAAGGCAAAATAT